GAATTATGGGAGTGAGTAAAATATGAGTGGATACTAGCAACAGGATGCTGGATGAGCTGATTGTACCAAAGAATAAAACCCTAATGATTGTTTTGGCAGTGACAGTGAACGTAGAGCGTAGTATGTTATTGAAGTGGTAACATGCAGAAATGAGTTCTGCACACATGACAATGAATTATGCAAAAAGAGCTGCTGAGATTGTTATAAGCATGAATTATTCAAATCTATATCCTGCTCTCTCTAAACTGAGTCTTTGCAGTGACAGGATATTTTTAAAAATACGCTCCTACATCACCGGTTTCAAAGAGCTCACAACTGACACTTTTACACCTTGTTGCGACATGCAGCTATTTGAACAGTGAAAGCTCGCCATGGGCAATAAACCTTTAAGCTTTCACAAATCTTTAAGTATATGTCAGCGTATACTAAGTATAGCTGTGTTCCAAAACCTAGTGAGCTGTCTTGCCATCTACTTCCTACATAGACAGCATCCTAACTGGACTGAAACTTAAGTCTTAAGTGACTGATTTGAAATGCTCTACATAGGTAGCAACTTGAATACTGTCTGTCTTGTCACATGAATACTGAGTGAAATACTCACATTGTAAAATTAGACTTAAATACTGTAACAGTAACAGCACACATTATGTTAAGCGTATGGATGTATGGCGTATAAGTCTTGACTCCCTTCCTACATTTTTTGTTGTTCAATAATCTTTTTCACTCACAGTAAGCATATACAAGACTCAATTTTACAGCTGATTCCAAAAGAGTTTGACGTTAACGTGTTGCTATAAGAATGTGTTACTGTAATAAGCGTAAAAAATATATAGTATACAAATATTCATTAAAATAGCAACTTCAAAAATTGACCGTCCCGCAACCGATTGCAACAATGATTTTTTTTTATGAACTCTTAACTAAGTCCACGAAGTCCGTACTTTTGTTGAGAGTTGATTGCATGATTGAGTTGAAAAATGAAATTGGGTGAGGGGGGTTGGTATATATAACGCAATAAATACCCTGCACACAAACATGGAATGAGATTGTTCATTTTAGTGATCATTTTTGGTATTGAATGCAAATGGTTTGCTTAGACATTTCTGTCGACTCTTGGAAGATTTTTTTACTTAGTCTGCTGCAATGAATTCTGGGATGGCCCTGTCTGTTAAGGACACATGCAGCACTGCCATAGGATTCGGCCAAAATTAGGTATCCTAGATGGCTGCATAATGTTGCTGCCAACCTTTTGAAACAGCTTTTGCATCCCATGATGCCTTAAAATGCTCGCTAGGTTTGGGAACAGAGCTTATGTGTGCACTAGAAGTCTCATTTAATTCCCACCAATGCCTCACAGATCTAGCAGCTGACTAGGCCTCTTCTAGCTTTATCTGTCAATCTTATCTCTTTCTCGGAGTGGCAGCGTGCCTGTTGACCAGGGCACAGTAGAAGCCCAGTCAGCATGTGACAAAAGCAAGAGCCCCATTTGTATGACGAAAGCGCTGGCATCATAAATCCGAGCTGAGAAGCACAGGAACAGGATGCACTGATCCCCGACTACATCGCTAAATAGTTTGACCGAGATCATTTTTTGGGTTGGTGGTAAGTGAAGCGGTGGATTTTTCAATTACACTAATTACTTCACCAATCGGAAGAGATGTGACATGGTACTGATGTGAATGTGGGAGTCTGGAACAAGAAGTAACAAGAAAAGTATTATGTGCTGGAGACATTAGCTTTCACTTTACTTCTTAAATGTTCAGAACATAATGGCGTAATTATAAACCAATATGGACTTGTCAAACTGTCTGTTCCCAGCTGTTCCCTGCAGATTCCACATGGTGGTTTCCATCACGAGCCGATCAACGTCCAAATTCAGTAGGGAAGCAGAGATGACATTCAGAATGGCGTGATTTCAAAGGAACATTCACCGAAAAATAAAAATTCTTATGTAATTTGGAAGAATGTTTGAACTGTTTTCATCTATATAGTACAATGAAAGTCACTGGTGTCCAAAACAACACTGGACTTCATTGACTTTCAAAACTTCTTGTTTTTGTTCAAATGTTTTTAAGAAGAAGATGTTTAAAAGAAAGTCACACAGGTTTGGAATGACAGGAGGGTGACTAAATGATGAAAGAATTTATATTTTGGGGTGAACTATTGCTTTAAATTGACATTTATTTCTCACGCAACACTGCTTGAATAATAGGAACGGATGTGGAGAAATCTACAGATGACTCACCAATGGATCCTCTGCAGTGAATGGGTGCCGTCAGAATGAGAGTTCAAACAGCTGATAAAAACATCACAATAATCCACAAGTGATCCACACGACTCCAGTCCATCAATTAACGTCTTGTCAAGTGTAAAGCTGTGTGTTTGTAATAAACAAATTCATCATTAAGGCGTTTTAACCAAGATACCTCTAATCTATAACGCTTCCTCCAGTGAAAAAGTCCATCTCCTGTTGTCCTCTCACATCAAAATCTACTGACAGATCTGTGTAGAACTGTTTTGAACTGTTTTTATTTAGAATCAGTGCTTCATCTGTGCATATTCCTCTCCTGATTCATGACTTTTTCACTGGAGAAATGGAGTTATGGATAGAGGACTCATATTTTAGCTGGAAGTGACGGTTTGAAGTTAAAACATCTTACGATGGATTTGTTTCTTACAAACATACAGCTTTTCACTTCACAAGATATTAATTGATGGACTGGAGTCGTGTGGATCACTTGTGGATTATTGTGATGTTTTTATCAGCTGTTTGGGCTCTCAATCTGACGGCACCCATTCACTGCAGAGGATCCATTGGTGAGCAAGTGACAAACAAACTCATCTACTGTATCTTGCATGGCCTAAGGGCGAGTAAATGTTCAGCAAATTTAAATTTTTGAGTGAACTATTTCTTTAATTCAGAAGACTTGGAATACTGCACACAAATCATATGGACTACATTCATAATACTTTTATGGCACTTTTGGGCCCTTTTTTAAGCTTAAACAAGCCATTCCCCATTTACTCTAATTGCAGGGATAAAGAAAGACCTTAAAATATTCTCCCTTTGAATCCCACAACAGAAAAAAAAACAAGTCATGCAGGTGAGTAAATAATGACAAAATGTTCATTTTTAGCGATCTTCTCTTAGTCCCATTAATAGCCCTATTTCCTTCCATCAGCTTTGGTTTAAGAGGAAAAGCCAGGTGTGGGAAGATGATCAACAGACACATTCTTGTTTGAAATGCCATTGCATTTAATGATACATTTACTGTAAATAGCAGATGGTTCATTAAGCTGAATTTGCCACCAAAAGGGCTGAGAGGCCAAGATTACAGTGCACGTCTGTGTGTAAATGTGTATGCATGCATTTATGTGTGTGTGTGTGTGCCATCCCGGCTGGACTCCATCCATATTTCATGACTGATAAAGCTTTCGGTAGCTGTGTACACTTTCCAAAGAGCAGAAATGTAATATTCAGCCATTTTGCCATATTCCACTGCAATATGCTCCAGATGTGGTTTGTGGCTATCATGAAAAAAAAAAGAAAATCGTTTTGCTATTTTCCATAATATCATTCTGCAGTTTAAGAACAGAAAAACAGAGGCTTTGTTTTTTGTCCCACCTTCCCTGCCCCCTCAAACTACCTTTCTTCTTTGCTCTGACCTTCTCTCCTTCTAAGTGAAGAAATTAACAAATGTCATCCTGTTTATCTGAGTAAAGCTGTAGTGAACAAGATTACAGGAGACCTGAAGCCCATGTGAACTCCACTGTACTGCTGCACTCCTCAAACTGCTCAACTGACTTTATGTCCATCTCTACCCGTCGGCCAATGAGAGATGAGCAGATTTCAGACTGCTCATCTGCCAAAAATCATCCTTCAAACTGTCAGCTGCTGTCACAACAAACTTACAAAAAAATAACAAATCAAAATAATATCACTGAGGTTATCATTTGGCTCAACTTGCCCTGAAAATTTGATGGCACTTAATAGAAGCACTATTTTAATTTAGTGGATAATTAATCAGTTATCAATATGTACATAAAGGGTCTCTGTCTGTCTGTGTGTGTGTGTGTGTGTGTGTGTGTGTGTGTGTGTGTGTGTGTGAAAAAACAGAGAGAAAAAGACAGATCAAAGATGGATAGATAGATAGATAGATAGATAGATAGATAGATGATATGTAAACATTTATTAATATGTAAACAAACATTTACATAACTGAATAAATAAATACAAATAGAACGTAAGTCGAATACGTTATTGTTTGCTGTTGATGTAATAATAGATAGAATAGATAATGAATATGCTATTTCTCAAATAAAACAGTATTGCTTCGGTTTTAGACGTAAAATAATTTGCTCAGTAAATGAATTAGAGCGTCTATATAAAGGAAAACAAAAGATCAGCCTTTACTGCTGCTATTTCTTCTTATTGCTGCATATAAGGACTATTCAAGATGACCATTCAAATTAATAAAGGAAAACAAAATAAATAATTATTTAAAAAATAATAAAGCACACTCGATATGCATTATTCTGTCACTTGGCTTCAAGGTTTTAAATCAGCTGAAAATGATGTGACATTTCATCTGCCATCAGACTAGACTTCACGGCTCATTATCGCACCTGCAGCGATCTAACTTGCGTTTTATTAACGATGCGGCAATATAATGTAAATATATTACTTACCAACGCCATATTTTTCATGTTCAGTCGGTATCCACATTTTTTCCGCTTCAAGCAAAAGAAAGTGTGCTATAAAACAGGGCAATTACGGCGGATACTATCCATATTGTTGTTACACAGAGGTTGCACTGTATTGTTCTGAGGGCAGAGCCACAGCAGCATCCCACATACACCACACTTCTCAGCCCTGAAGAAAAACACCATTGCCTCATGGGAGATGTAGGAAATGAATCGGAAAGATTGGATAGAGAACTACAACACCCAATAACCGCATACACAGCGGCGGTTTAACTCTGATTGGTCAGTGCGTCGTTCACCAGGTCACGTGATTTGAGGGGGAAAAAAACATGGCCGCTCAGACACACAGCACAAGTTTGGCAGGTTGGTTAACGGAATTATTAATATTGGCAGAGATTTTATATTATATTGCTTTATTTGCGTTTATATCTAATTTTTAAATATCTAGCAAGTTATATGTTTATTTTTCTGAGTATGCTTAAAAACGTGTTAAGTTTGTCATCCGCTTTTCTGGACTCTAATGGTCAAACTGGTTTGAACTTGTCTCCCAGCCCTGCAAAGATGGTTTCCAGCTGGTCTACCTGGTCTTCCAGTTGGAAAGAAGCCAAAAACGCTTTAAAACCAGCAACAGACCAGCCAAACAAGGCCAGCTGAAACCAGCAGACCATAGTTTAAGCTGTTTTTCTCAGCAGGGAGTGGGTGGTTAACGTGTAAAGTTTGTTGATATGGATCTTCTAATAGATGATCAGCGACCCTTTAATCTGTCACTGCAAAAGCTCATTTCGAAAAGGGCAAAACAACTCATAAAGTGCACTTAGGAGCACAAATGTATCAGGTTTTTAGAGGATAACATTCTGTTTAACTTACATGAGTCACACCGTCATTTTATGTGAATCAGCTGCTTGTTTGTGTGAATGTTGGACATCTTGAAAGGTCGTGGGATTTATGAGACAAGGGTTTCTCACTAGCTGGAGTACTTCAGACTGAATTAATGACCCAGAATGGATTTAATGTCTTCAGTCATATAAAACACAAAGATATTTGAGCATCATATTTTATTAAATGTGTAAATATTGTGTCTTCTCTCATTGTTAGCTAAGCAGGATTGTATTCTTGAGCCGCTTTGTTTCCCCGAGCACCTGTGTGGTATCGCTTCTCTCACCTCCTCCAGCGATGGCCATCCGGTGACCTGTGCTCTCTGCTCAGACTCTTTTCCCACTTCCGTAAAAGAGCAGCTTCTCAAGCACATGGTGTTGGATCACAAACTGGTTATCGCTGATGTCAAACTCATCGCTGACTTTCCACGGTGAGAATTCACAAGATTTGTAACCTACGTGTGTCAGCATTTCTTTAAAGAGATATTCATCAAGCACAATACAAATAACACAAAATAATGAAAAAATGATAATTGTTTTGTTGCAGGTACATGTTGTACTGGAAGAAACGCTTTACAGAACAGCCCATCACAGACTTCTGCAGTGTTATCAAGACCAACTCTGAAGGTCCTGTAGGTAAGACACATTTGAGCTTGTATTTACATGTATGTACATTTTATATAGTTAGTTAATAGCCATGGAATTTTCAATACTAATGCTAAAACTATTTTGAAAATATTTAAAAGCAAATTTTTTGTTGTAAACTGAATATGTTCATCTAACATAAAACATATAACATTTTTATCCATCCCTTAAAATTGTGATTTTATTCTATCCCACTGTAGTCAACATAATGTAAAAATCACAGAATTATGTTTAATTATTATACTATGTTTAATTATAACCTCATTTTAATGAACAAAACATTAGATTTAACATACTGTAGATTTAAATATAAAAAAAATTTAATAATATTTAACATTAAACATATTACATTTTTACTGTCCCACATTTTGTACATTTCCACTTTTTCCCACATTTCCACTTTTCCAAACATGTAGTTTAATTTAGAACAAAAAAAATGCAACTCTGCGACTTACAAACCTTAATCTGCCTTTTTTTTTGTTTTGAGATTTTATTAATTCATTTTTTATGTTTTTTATGTTACAAAATCACATGTTTTTTAGCTGTATGTGGACATGACATATTTTAGTAACAAGGTTCCAAAAGTGGAAACCTCATATAATTTAATTACATTTTTATAATTTATGCATTTAGCAGACGCTTTTATCCAAAGCAACTTACAGTGCATTCAGGCTATACATTTTTTACCAGTATGTGTTCCCTGGAAATCGAACCCACGACCTTTTGCGCTGCTAACGCAATGCTCTACCACTGACCCACAGGAACATATAAAATGACGATTGGTGATGATCTGCCATTAGTTTACCATAATTGTTTATGGATTCTAGGTCACAAATCAAGGTTATTGTTAACTGAAGCTATAAAATATAATATTTGTTTATTGAAATGAAGCTAAATTTAAAAGATCAGAAAATATGGAAAAAAAAAACTGAAACTGCCTTTCTAACTGATATACAATTGCTACTTGCAATACTAAAAGTAAAACAGATATACAAATAATTAGAATTTGCTAAATTGAAATATGTAACAATTTTATACTAATAAACTAATAATAATAAGTAAAACCTAATTCAAATACTATAATAGCATATAAATAATACTAAAATAATACTGGTGTGGGGAATAGCCCTTTAACTTCTCTGACTTAAAAGTGAAGTCTAAATCTATGAAGGCCTTTTCACATGGTGTCCTTTTTAGACTCATATTACCAAAAAGCTGCTTTGTGTCATTTTAGAACAACAAGAGCACTACTTCCTATTGTGTGATGCTCTGCCAGAGGACAGGATCCTTAGGGAGCAGCTACAACAGAGACGACTGGTGAGTGTCTATAAAAAGACAAGGACCTGCGACTGTCGGGTTAGGAGTGCTGCTGCTGTGTGACATTAGGTTATGAGTATTCACAACTGATCCAACAGTAGCACAAACGACAATCAAATTAATATGCAGAAAACCTGGAATATGAGTAACACCGTCATAAGAGAAGACTTTGTATCTTTTTAATTTTTAACTAAAATTGTATATTAAAAAAGGAATATTTTTGCTTTATTTTTTTGCTTTATTATTGTTATTGTAAAACAAGGGCTTTTTGTGTCCTGAACTAAAAAATATTGGATTGTGAAAATGTTATTAAAAAATATTAATGGAATGACAGTAGTATGTATTTTCATATGTAATGAAAATGGTTTTGAAGAGATATTTTGGTTAATAATTATTTCATTATTAATCTTTTTTTTTTACCCATAAATCCTATTATGTCAGATAGAAAATATCATTTTATAGATCGAAAATGTTATTGAGAGTTAAAAGATTATTGAAGCAAACTTTTTTGTTTTGAATATGTATATCACTTTGAATACTTAACTATGAAGCATTTTTTGTTGTCTGTAAGTGCGTAACAAAAATAATACAGCTGAAATACTGTTGCTGTGTAACTGTAAAAAAATATATATATTGGGTTGCCAGATTTTGGGTTGCCAGAAATTCCACAATCATTACGTGCCTAAAAATACTGAGGAAACAATTAACACAGTGTTCAATGAGAAGCCAAACCCCACCCCTCACCAAGACTGTTTTTGCAGAGATATTATGAGTCAACATAATCATCTCACACACATTTCATCTCAGGCAAAAATCTGCTATTGTGGTTGCTAGGCAACCAGCTTCTCAGCACCTCTGCAGTGGGCTCTGCAGTGTGGCGACCAGCTGTTTAACAGTGCAGCTGTGACCTTTCTCAATCATTCGGTGACGCTGCACGTCGATGAAACTCGAGCTGAGAGGATTAGCACTGTTTATTAAACACAAATCATTCGCAGATTGCGTCTGGGATAATTATCGATGATTATGGCAATCGAACAGCGGGTTTTCAGAAACGCAGAATGATACAAACACACCACACTGAGATTCATAGCAATTATAAATACTGTTTATAGACTCAACAATTATGTAACCATATTTATAATGTGCACCATAGTAATGTCTTACAGTGCTACAAAGTCTGTAATGAAGTTTGATATACTTTCATAGGAGGAAGTTCTGGATCAGCAGCAGAAAGAGCGGGACGATACAATGTTTCATCGCGCATGTATGTTCTGCAGTGAGGAGTTTACTGGAAACAGGTGACCCACAACTGTCGTTTGCAATAAAAAACTCATTTCTGATGGATTTCTTATTCTAGAATCAGTATATTTAACTTCAAATCATGTCTTGATGTGAAATTGTTGATATTTGAGTTTTGACATCTCTACAAACTATTTTTTTTATTTATTAAGAATTATTTATTAAGAATATTTATAATAGTAATTATTTATATATTATTAATATATCAAATGTTTTATAAATTATATAACATGTATTATATAGTATTTAATATTATATATAGTGTTCTATTTAGTATTTAATAAAAAAATAATATATTTTTACATTATAAAAATTATAAACAAAATTATAAATAATTTATAATATTAAACAATACATTTCATATTATTTACTATCTTATGATAAATTTGACAGAGTATCTGCAAGGCCGTTCAACAAGTTTGTTAAGGGTACTGATTTTAAAATCAAAAGTCTAAATCATACCAAGGTGGAGACTTTACTCATGAATATTAATTAGCTCATTTGACTGAAGGCCTAGGCAGATTGCCTTGTAGTGTCAGAGTAAATATTCATTAAAACAGTTTTCATTGTATAGTGACGTCCCAAGCCACCCATCTTCGGCCCTCCACTCTGACACTTATCGAGATATAAACCACTATTTTTGCTTTATTATTTTATTATTTGTAGCAAACAGCACTGCACACTTGTGTAACTTGATGTATTTGTGCACTGAGGTCTTCACTGCTGAATCACATGGCTAAAGAACACTCTTTTAGCATCGGTCTGCCTGACAACATCGTCTACTGCAACAAGTTCCTCGACACTCTGGAGTGGAAACTGGAGAAGTGAGTGTTTGAGATTTTGCTACAACACTGCATGTAATCTTACACACTTATACACTATATATTATTAATGGTCAAACCACTATTACAAATCGAAAAAATGTCAAATGGAAATGGAGAAGATTTGAATGCCCCCTCTTGGTGCTTGCAGTCATTGCATTAATCCCAAATAACCAAGTAGGGTTAGTGTTTGGGTCAGTGACAAATAAATAGAAGATGCAAAAATAAAGGCATAATGAAAGTTATTTAAATATGTATATATTTATAGTTTTTTTTTTAAAGTTTTTCTACCGATTATTAAATCTACTCACTGAAAATGTCCTTTTATTCCTTCATTCGTTCGATCATTCATTCTTAGTATTTTTCAAGCAAGTTTGTTTGTTTTCAATGACTAAAACATATTATTATTATTATTATTATATAGCATGCAGTGTCTGTACTGTGAGAAAACATTCAGGGACAAAACCACTTTGAAAGATCACATGAGGAAAAAGCAGCATCGACGAATAAACGCCAGAAACCACGACTACGATCGCTTCTATGTCATCAATTACCTGGTATGATCATGTGTCGGTTTGTACATGTTTCATCTGAACACATAAATATTCATCATGAAATCCCCCCATTGTGCTGTTGTAATGTTGCAGGAGTTGGGGAAGACATGGGAGGAGGTGCAGTCTGAGGATGACAGGGAGCTCTTTGAGGATGAAGATGAGTAAGGCCTTTATATTTTTACTCTGATGATCACATTTTCCATTTTATTCACCTTCCTGATATTCTGCACTCTCTGCAGTGATTGGTCAGATTGGCAGGCTCATCCTGTGTGTGCCGTGTGTCTGTTTTGTGAGCAGCAAGCAGAAACAATGGAGAAAATGTACACACACATGGAGGTATATGATGCTGCTGAACACAATTGTAATATTTGAGTGCCTGAAAAAGTATTTCACATTTCTATGCATTTTCGCATCAGTATCACTAAGAACATGATTTGTTTTCATCCAGGAAACTCATGAATTTGACCTGCACAAATTAAAAACAGACTTAAGTGAGTAATGCAGAAATGTTTATGAGAAGAACCCTTGACCACACAGAGGGTCATTCATGTCATGTGTGTAATTTGTCCAGGCCTGAAGTTTTACCAGCAAGTGAAACTAGTGAATTACATCCGCCGTGAGCTTCACCAGTGCCGATGCTACTGCTGTCAGGAGAGGTTTGAAACCAAGGAGGAACTAGTGCAACACCTGGGTAACACAGGTCACGTGATGCAGCTGCCTGAGGTCTCGCACTGGGACCAACCACAGTAAGTATGACACCTTCATGATCACCCTTTTTTTTTTTTTTTTTTTTTCAATTGAGTTTCCAACCCCCTCTTTGTCTCCCCTTTTTTTTTTTTTTTTTTATTCAATTGAGTTTCCATCTGGACAATGAACTTTTTTTTTTTTATTATTGTATTATTTTCACATGACCTTTTTAGTATTATTCAATTAAGTTTCCATCTGAACAATTACAAATTATTTAATATTATTAATTTTTTATTATTTATTCCACGGAAGAGGATTAGGGCCAAGCAATAGTAAAAATAAAACCATCTTGAGATTAAAGTCATTAAATTGTGAGAAAAAGCACATTCAATTTAGAGAAAAAAGTTGAAATAAAATGTTGAGAAAAAAACGCGTAAAATTTCAAGACAACAGTCAAATTCAGTTGCGGAGAAGGTTCATTTCATCTCTTTGGAGAGCGTCAAGCAGTGTTTGCAGTGGCGGAGGTCGTAGAGTAATCCACACAAATGTAGCATATGATACGGTCGACTGGGTTCGAGTCCATCTTTCGCCGAACTCGCTTTTCTTCCTTTTCTCATCATCTATCACATCGGAGAAGTGGAAATCAACTGCCTAAAACGAGTGTTTAATAATAATGTATTAATTGGGTAGGTTTAGTGTTACTACAGTAAATCCATTGTAAATATTAATTTGTGGATTGAAAAGTATTTTTAACTGATTGTTGTCGCGTTTCTCCTGTTTTCCGCATCAGTGTTGTTGAGAATGGCAGCGCTGTTTCATCTGCAGTTCATCTCAACATTTTTCTCAACATTTTATTGCAACTTTTTTCTCAAAATGTAACGACTTTTTTCTCGAAATTTAACAACTTTTTTCCACGTAATTTAATTAGTTGTAGACTTTTTTTCTCGAAATTTAACGACTTTTTTCTCGAAATTTAACAACTTTTTCCTCTAAATTTAACAACTTTTTCCTCTAAATTTAACAACTTTTTTCACGTAATTTAATGAGTTTATTCGTACATTTTATTTAGACTTTTTTCTCAAAATTTAACGACTTTAATCTCGAGATGGTTTTATTTTTTGTTATTGCTTGGCCCTAATCCTCTTCCGTATTATTCTGTTATCTTCACATCACTTTTTTTTTTGTTGTAATATTCATTTGAGTTTCCATCTGGACAATTAAAAATTATTTTATATTATTTATTTGTATTATTTTATTTTTAGATTTTTTTATTATGTTAAATATTAGACCCAGTAAAGACTGTAAAATTTAAATGAGCCATTAGACATAGCAATAGTTTTAAATAATATAGGCTTTGGACATTAGAATGAGCACTGACTCTTATACTGTAAAAAAAAAAAACGCTCTTCTTACAGCTCTGTCAGACAGCGAGAGCGAACATGAGGGTCCAAATCCCAGCTCTGAAGTTCCCGTTATTGCTGAAGACATTTCAAACCTCAAAGTTATAAAACAGACCAGCGTGCTTAATAAACTGCTCAAAGACAGAGGCGGCTCTAACTGAAGATATGGGACACCCAGAGAATTATGCTCAAATTATGCGTCTATTGCAGAATATGTTGAGATTAATGATGTGACTATTCCTTTCTATTCATGTGGGTTTACAGTATATTGACAGTGCTCACATTGTGAAAAAGCAGTCAAATAAACTTTATTTATTTACCTGTCATGGGTTGATCAATGGAAATCCCTAATTGAAAGGATTTGACTGAAAATAACCTTTTTGTTGGGATATTTTTGGATCATGGCTGACAGGGCAGTTTAGTAGTGTATTGGCACTGTAAATATTAACATTTGCTTTAATAAAGATATTGTCAGAACAGTATCAATAGTCGGTACAATTTATAGGTCCATTACACTAATAACGCTAAATTATTAAGAATAGCCAGATGAAGTTTAAAAACAAGGTAGAGAATGGGAATATCAAATCAAAATATGGTGCTATATATAATGGTGTTAGTTAGTTATATATATATTTATTAGGATAGGACAGTATTTCAGACAAGAAGTGAGGTGAGAGAGAGAGATAGGATTGAGAAAGGTCTGCGAGCTAGGATTCGAACTCGGGATGCCCGAAGCGCAACAGCGCTATATGTCCACGCCTTTCTCCACGAGACTATTGACGCCAACATGGTTATATATTTTAATAGAAATGTATTCATTTATAATGTTCGGTCAATTTTGCAAATCTTCGCTTAAAATTTCTAGGGGAAAAAATTGGACTTGTCGTCAATAGTGTAGCAAAGTATGAAGCTGCACAAAAGTCACTTTCAGTCCAAGCTGTTTATAACTCGATATATAAGCTCACCATTCTGAGATGTTAGAATTGTGAGATACAACATTAAACTCGCAACTTCAAGAAAAAAGTCTTTGTAATTGTAAGATAAAAAGTCGCAGTTACCTTTTTTTTTTTATTCCATAGCAAAAACAAAAAAACTATTGTGAGATGTAAACTCAGAATTCTGCGGGGGAAAAATGCGGAATTGCGAGAAAGAAGTCTTGATCATGAAATAAAATGTCACATTTACCTTTTTCGTGTCGGAAACAGGCTTCCATGCGATCGCATGAATCCCTATCGAATTGAACTGAATTTCACCAACGGAAACTTATTTCACTTATTTAAACATGAAGCAATTCACGGAATATAGCCTAAATTTAATAGTAACCTAAATTTAGAAATATTTAGTAGGGTTTTTTTTTTGTCTGCTGGTGTGATAAAAACAATTCAATACACAATATTGCAGTAAAAGAGCCACTCTTTTATTATCAAAATATCGAAATCATTCTCATGTCTGATTTCAAACATGCAAACAATCATTGAAATCATCCCAGCGTCTCGTTCATTCTTTGTTGAAGCCATTCACAGGTTCCTTTAAAAAAAACGCAAAGTCTGATGTCAAGTCAATCAATAAATATTGCATACTTCACTAAGAGTAAATCCTCGTGTCTTTAGGTGAGGACTAAGCTTACCCAAGGCACTTGTAACCCCTAGTATAAACACTCAACCCAAACTGCTGTAAGTGCTAGTAACACACAATATTAGTCAAATATACTTAACTAATCGAGACCAACCAAACTATACAAAACAGTATGAATTTATCAATTTATAAAGGGCAGTAGAAAATCTTTTCTGTATAAACAAATAAAATACATAAATACACTACTCCACTGGACAGATCTGAATGTGTGGGTTATAGTGTTAAATGGACACTACGTCCCTTGTATAGATGCCAAATATAAGGCTGTGCTTTGTCTAGTGCAGTTAAGAAGAGGCACTGCAAAATGGCTGAGCTGGTAATGGGTTTCACGCTGTGCTGCTGGATCTGGGTACAAATGCTGCATTCAACGGTTTAGTGCTGATACATTATAACTGAGAGTTTACAAAAGTCATGAAAAAAGAAGCATTAAAATGGCAGTGGGAGTTAACAACAATACAAGAAGTTAAAGCTGTAACAGCTGAATTGGTTAGTGGGTGCAATGCTGTTAGGCCCATCAGTAACATATTGTATGTGAATCTCGTAAAAAAAAAATCTCCAGGCCATAATTTACCATAATATCAAAAGGAAAAAATAATTTTGCATAAAAAATTAAAAGTTATTTTAGGGTCATTCATTTAAAAAAGGTTTTCATGACAATTAAGGATAGAAATGTGCATTTATGTGATGATTCTCATTTTTTACTGCAATAATTTTCATATATGTTTTATGTAATATAAAAAATTATTTGAAATAAATTTTAAATCAAAAAATATTTTGCATTATGGTAATCACATTTTTCATTATTTAATCATCACAGGGATATTTTTTACTGTAATAAACAAAAAATCCTGTATATGTTGTGTAATATAACAACAATAATATAATTAATATAAAAAATTATTTAAAAATTGAAATCAACAAAACATTTTGCATTATGGTATTTACATTTTTCATATTGTAATCAGGAATTTTTTTTACTATAATAAAACAGTTTTTGTGTATGTTGAATAATTTTATATAATATAAAAATGTAAAAAAAATATATATATAATTCACACTGCAGTAATGACAGGGTTTTTTTTTTTACCAATAAGGATTATAATAAGATAATTATATTTAAAATTTAAAAAATTCATATTACAATAATGACATCTTTTCATTATGATTCTGACAAGAAATTATACTTAATTGTCATTAAAATAATATTTTGAACAAAAAATAGATTTTATTTCTTTATGCAAAATAAAATATCTTATGTTCATCTATCTTTTGATTTGGAGTTGATCTATGACCCAGAAATGTCTTCACAAAATTCACCCTTGCTGAGTAATGAATGACATTCCTGTATGTACGTTGGCCAATTTTTAGCTATTTTTTCAATCACAAACACACACATGGAGTGTTTTTACACCTGAGATTTTATAAATCGCTGTGCTGGTCAATACAACCTAAAGCTGCTGTAGGTGATCGTCACATAACCATGTCCAGATACAGCTCAGACCAGCTGCTTACAGTATCGCCACACTCTAGGTCCTGTTCTACGATTTAACCAGTTTGAAACCTTGGCCTGTATCCAGCACCGCAGGTGGGAACCACGTGAGTTTGATCCTGTGGAGCAGTCGAACGCAGTATCCGCAAACCCAAAAGAGGTTCAACCCGCCGCACCAGTGAGCGAGCTGGACCACAGGGTAAGTCAGGCGTGGGAAGTAGAGTCTCCAGTGCCTGGTGACGTCGCTTTCAGTGGGCAGGTGAAGCTTGTAGTCACTCCAGTGTCTGGAGATGCCGTAGGCTGCTCGGATGGGCCGCCCATGCTCAGACCACCAAACTATGCTGTCAGGGTCGCAGTTAAAATCAACCCATTGACAGGTGAAGTCCCCGAGCTGAGGCGCGTCCTGGACCTCCGAGTCTGTGGAACTAGAGAGCACTGCTCCTTGAACCGCTACATAAAGTCCCTCGATTTTCTGCACCTCCTTAACCCAGGGGAGCGAGTTGTCGGTGTCGAGAATAATGATGAGACGGGAACAGATTCCGACGTTCTTTTCTCTCCAGAGCTGCACAATCTCATCTAAAGCCCTCTATAAAACTCTTTCCCAGAGTTTGGCTGAGCTTCCATATGCATCTTTTTTTTTTATGCCTTTTATGTAAATGGTATGCAAATTTTACTAATATGCGAGTTAGTTACAAACAAATCTCCAGAACATATTTATCTGCAAAATCTAGATAGATAGATAGATAGATGGATAGATAGATGGATAGACAGATAGACAGTTAGACGGATGGATGGCAGATAGATAGATAGATAAATAGATAGATAGATAGATAGACAGACAGACAGATAGATGACAGACAGACAGACAGACAGACAGACAGATAGATAGACGATAGATAGATAGATAG